AAGAAATAATAACAAAGCAAAACAAAAAAATCATTAAAAAAAAAAAACCAAACCAAACTCATGTCAGGAAAAAATAATATTTTCTATTAATGTACTAAATTATAAGGACTGGAAACAAGCGTGTTTAGTGTGTACTAGAGGACTATTATTGAAGAAAGTTACAATTAAAATTTATGTAGTATTTTCTGAGAACCAATAAGATGCACTATGTGTTCTGTGGTATTTATCTTAGCTCCTGATATCCCCATATCAGTGGGGGATATATACAACCCATATACTGGTTTAGATAGAATAGAACCTTGCTGACTGTTTATTGACGGCTCAGTATTACCTGAGAGAGACATTAGCATTCACCTAGATTGCAGTGTCTGCTGTTCCTTAGCACCCTAAATCCTTCCCTGGGGTTAGCCAAAGCAAAACTTTCCTAAGCTGCTTACTCCTGCAGTCCGTGTTACTCCATGTGCCTCATGCATACTAGTTTTTGTTCAGGTGTCTTAGGGGTTTTTCTTGGAAACGAGTGATGAGGAAGTAGTGAATGTGAATTCTCAGAAGGACTTTGGTAGATTGCCAGTGCTTTGACACCTTTTTTTTTAATTAAATAATATAAATAATAATGGCTTCATTGTTATTGTTTGATTGCAATAGTACTGCAAAGTGAAAGTATAGTTTAGATTCTAACCTCCCTCTCCCCAGGACTAGACTAAAGGGAATACTTTCACCATCAACACAGTGAAAATCTCTCAGCACCAACTTAATTTGGTTAAGAAAAGAGGATAGAAACATGAATAGGGTTGATTTCCTTAAGCAGTTTAACACACTGCTGATCACAGAAGTTTTAGGGAAGGAAGAAAAAGCCAACCAATATTCAAATAGGTAGCCAACCCGCCTTTGAATAGCACTGAAGAATAACTCCATCCATAAAACATATACAAGAGACATGAGACTACAAGGGACCTCCTGAATCTTTGAATCCAGACCTTGCTATTGTATGACTACGTTAGTGAAAACAATGTTAATAATGTAATTTGTGCATGTTCTGCATGGATCAATGAAATTTTCATCTTAAAATTATCATTGCCCTAGTTGTGGTCTGTTCCAGAATCCAGCCTTACTGAAGGTTAGCTGCAGTCATATATAATTACAGATACACACTTTGTCAGACTTAGATTAAAAAAACAGACTTAGATGTAAAAAAAACAGCAGCAGTGACTATGACACAAAGTAACTCTTATGTCCTTTAGGAAGGAAGTTTACATTAGAGAAGGCAGTGCAATCTTCAGACATTCCTGCCGGTGTTTTGGGTAAAAACATTTTTATTGGAAAATAGAAGAAAAAAAAAAAATTATGATTGGGATTTGTTTACTTTTGGTTTGCTTATTTGTTTGGTTTTTGTTCTGTTTTGTTTTCTGATAAGTTCCAAAGAGAAATCCAAGAAAGCACTATAAACTATTTTAAAACTTTAGGTTATACTTTACAAAAAAAAAAAAAAACTAAGTAAAACTAGCCAGAAAGGCCTGGGACTAAGCAGATGAAAAGACCATTCCAGATGGAAAAGAGCTCAAGAGTCACTGCCTCCCAGAGTCCAGAATTTTCTGTGAAAATTAGGTTATATTAGTGTAGTCTTGAAAAGGAGGTGAGGCAGAGTTAAGACAGCAGTTTAACTATGTTTGACAGGCTAAATGGAATACATTTCCTAGCTCCAAATCACTGAGCAGTGCTCTTGTAATGGGTGTTTTGCTCCAAGCATAATGAGGGAAAATTATTTCATTTGTCCAGACTATAATCAATCACTTCCAGGAAAAGAAATCTTTCATGATTTTCCAGTAGCCATAGGAATTGTTAAACATATCAGTTAGTTGTAGAAACTACCTTGTGAAAGAAGAAAAAGTCATGAGAAATGAGTAAGATGCGCAAAATTACCCTGTAATTTTATGACCATTCTTAGTCGTTCTGGTGTTTGTGCCTAGATGCATGCTTTTTTCCTTAACTGTCTCTGAACTGCCAATAACTATAAATTCATGCAAGCCATAGAAAGGATGAAGAAGTCTCAAAAGAAAAGGGATTTTTCATCTGGCAGCATGCTCACCCCAAAAGTCGTAAAAGTCTTTCCTGAAACTTAGGATTGCAAAAGCTTACTGAGTCTTGCCAGATTTCTTGCTTCTGATGGAAATTCCCTAATGATTCATGTGGTTTCTGGATAGCAATATAAACAAAAGGTTATGGTAATCAAATGCTTAAAAAGATGATTAAAAAAAAATACTCTGCACAGCTATAATATCCAAGAACTTGAATGTCTAAATGTGTGTTTTCTCATCTAGTAATGAGAATATTATCCCTCACAAATTTATAGAGCACAAAAGTTGAATCACAGGAGGGTGAGTCTTGTCCCATTGAAGTTTATGCTGAAATGCCCGGAGAGTCTCCCTGGTGTACAGGATGCAAGACTGAACCAGGGATAATTAGGATTTGATTGTGCTTGCTTTTGTGTGCTTAAAAGTGTGAAGAAATTATCCTGTGTTGTTTTTTTCTTTTCACATGCCTGCTGTATGCTCTGAAAAGCTTTTTACTTAGAGAGTTCAAGAACAGATTCAGTTCTGCAACCTTTCCTGGACTCTCTGAAGGCTTGGACATTGGGGAGGAAAGAAGGGAGTCAGAAATAATCTTCTGGATTGAAAAGAAATGGTCCATGAAGCTAGCAGTGCGGAAGTTAGAGAGAACACTAATTATTAGCATCCAGTAGTCATTTGACATCTAGGAATTTCTTACAGGCAGTGTTGTGTCCAAATGCAGAACTCTGACATTTTGCAAAGGTTCCCTGGAAGGTCTGCCTTCCCAGTAACAAATTAATATCAGGTAAACGTTTATTGAAGCTGCAGTGGTTTAGAGTCTCAGCTGAGGATGTGCCTACAGGTTGCTCTCCTGCCTTGCAGAAAACAGGAAAGTTGTCTGGTTTTTTATCATTCTTCTTTCAATGCCACCTGAATCAGTCTGTTAACTTGGAAAAGATTGGGTTCATTAAAATAATAAGCTTGTTCAGAAGGCGATAACAGTAATGCATAGGTTTAGATACTGTGGTTGGGCTAGATCTTAGTGGTCTTTCCAGCCTTAGTGATTGTATGATCCCGTAGCTACATGTCAACTTTTTGGACATAATTCTTCAGTTTTAATTGGGCATTTTAATTTCACCTAAAAAAAATAAGCCAACTAAATTCTTTCAATCCCATTTGATTCCCATCCCTGTGTACAGCTCCACTTTATGTTCCTTGTAACAGAAAGGCTTTTAACGTTGATAAATGGCTGCAAAGATTTTGCTTTTACTTTGTTGCTTTTCTGTTTATTTAACCAAGAGCAGTTCTTTTAGTCCTGACCTCAGTCTTGTCAAAAAGACTGTGTTTGTCAAACTGCTCATGCTCCCATTAACTCCTAGCTTTTTCAATTGTCACATTTGATGAATGGCTCAAATACTGCTAGCATCATTAAAAGCAGGGACACTGAGTCCAAATACACACCATAAATAGGAAAATTTGAAGCAAAGAAAACCTTTTATTGCATAAAGGAAATTGCAAGTGATTTAAAAGTAATCTCTTTTAATGCTATCTTTCATATGTGCAGGAGACAAGAAGAAAACCCTCAGATTTTATGTTTGGTATTATCTCTTTTTATAGCTAGAGAACACTAGTAGCTTTATAACCATATTTATACGGGGATGTCTGGGACTGCGTGTAGAAATGGTCCTGCTTTGTGTGACTAAAAGTCTCAGAGCTATCCCCACAGTGCTCTGTCATTCTGAAGGGTCTGCATCTTCCCAAAGCAGAGCATGCAGTCGTGCAGCACGGTGCTTGCATGCTATTTTCTTCCAGACTGACAGTGGCTCCGGGGTGTGCGGTGCTGCGTGCTCTGGCTCAGCCCCAGCGGTGCCCTTAACTCTACCCACGTGAGTAGGAACCGCCGCTGAGCTTCCCCTAATGACCTGCCGGTAACAGCGGTGCAAGCTCGGGCTTGCCAGAATTTGGCAGAGTGTAGTTCTCCAGTTACGCTCAAGCTAACATTTCAGTTTATATTGTCTGGTGCCCTTGTCTGCCCTTTGTCGTACTTACAGCGCAGGCTATCGAGAGACAGAGTTCAGGATTAGTGCTGGAAAGTTGGGTAATGGCTTCAGCAGAAAGAAGAAAAGTTGTTGTTGTTGTTGGGGTGTTGTTTGGATGTTGTTAAAATGTAGCTAAAGGCTAAGGAACTTCTGGTGATTATTCAGGTCAATATCTATGCAGATACAATTAAATTTACAGTTTATAAATCAATAAAAGTGATACACTTCTAGACTGGTGACAATTCTATAACACTCAGATTCTAGTCAAAGTTACTGGTTTTTCTTTATGGTTTTGTTTAAAAAAAGCATTGCTCCAAACTGCAATATAACTATAGATGCATAGAGACACAGCTTGAGTCCAGTATTGCTGAGTGCTGCTCATGTGGAATTTTCATCATGGTATAAATAAATACACTGCTACAATGTATTTTTCCTGGACAGTGATAGAAGCCATTACAATGAGGACAGCAAGCAAATCATTAAAGCAATTCTGAAATGGCATCAGAAGTAGGTCATCAACGTTTATACTTTCCTGAGCTACTGTAGATCACAGGGCTCTTTTTTCCTCTGCAGAAGATAGGAGGGAATTATTGAGCTCAGTGTTTTACAAAGTGCGGAGAAAGCAAAGAAACTCCTGGTTGTATCAGAAACTTTAGCATTACCAACTTTTTGCTTTCAGTAAATGTAACACTCTGCTTGGTTCTCTGAGTGCAAGCAATAGCAGAAATTGTCTCTCTGCTATTGTTTGTAACTCAAACTTTTGTCGGAAGGACGATGCAGGATATCAGACACAGATCTTGAGGTATCATTACCTTGTTACTGATTTGCTGCGTAGTCCAACCATAAGTTTAAAGCTGAAGTGGGAAGGATTAGTAGTTCATGGATTTATTTCAGTCCCTTTTCTCTTTCTCAGATGCCATATGCAACAAAGTGCAGAGATGGACTATAGGCTTCCAGCAAGTTACCAACTTTACTGCCAAGGAGGGTGCTAAGATAGTCAGTCTCCTAAGTAAGTGCTTCTCTTTGTCTGGCTCTTGCTGGATTTGATTCCTAAGGTTTGTATGTATTTAGATTGCAGTCACCTGGTCGTCAACTATGGAAACTTAATTAACACTTTTCACCCAGATAAACCATGAAAATATATTACTTTATTTGATCAGTAATGTTTTGTTTCTGCCCTGAGGTGCCCCAGGTAACCAATGTTTGTCACCTAGGCCCCTAAATATATGTTTGGTTTATTAAGTATTATATATATTTATAATCGATAGAGTTCATCACAATTCTTTCATTATTCACAGAGAGATATGAACAAAGTACTTTTGTTAGAACAAATAGTTTTCTTCAGCCTTGACCATATTCTTGTTTCTGTCTGTGCCAGGATTAAATGTGAATCAAAACAAAGTAGATACACTGCAGTTATTCCCTGCTGAGACTTCCTGCATTTTTAATCATTATTTGTTGGTGTTTCTGTATTTCTGTAACCCTCAGGAGTAGTGAAGCCTACAGAGTATGAATTCATTTGATTAACTACATTCAAAGTAGACCTATAGGAACTGGCTCTGTACTCAGTACTGACTTTTGAAGAACAGGATTATAACTGTCAGGGTAGCTACAACTCTGAATTAAACGAAAGTTTGTATGAGGCATATGTCAGTACTGAGCCTCCAACCCACGTATGCTCTCCCACTGAGGTCAGTTAGACTAGTGGTTAGGAGGAGATAGATATGGAGGTGTCTAGGTTCAGTTAATCTCTAATGAAATGGAAAAGTGGGATTGAAGATGAGAGTGTCTACTCAATTGTAAGATCAGTGAAATTGAGAATTTGGCTCATAGTTCACTAACAAGGCATCAGTAAGGTTAAAGCAAAGCATAAGAAAAATCTTGTCGTCTGTGCCCCTTCGTTCAATGTATGAACAGTACTGTCAGAAGTTTTGAAGGGAGCCCTGCAGACTTTTCCTGGAAAGCATCATTGGCAGAAAAATAATTTTCAGCAGAATTCAACAAAGGAAGGGGAAAAAAAACAGTATAAATCAGCTAGCAACTTGACCCATGGGCAGCCAGACCAAAGCAGCTTGATTTCCTATGGATTTCTGTCTCCTCAGCCTTGTCATCTGCTTTCCAGCCCTCCACCGACAACCATCCCTGCTAGTCTTTCAGGATCTGGCAGGGAGGGCCACCTGCATGGCCAGGCCAGCACTGCAAGCCAGTGAGAGATGCCAGCGTGTCTTGGCCATGGCTGCAGGGCCGGCCTTCTTTCCTTTCCCCGGAGCATGATATTTGGCTCTTTTGATGTCCCTGGTTTGCACAGGGTTTCTAAGGGTCTGCAGGTCATGAAGACATCTCTGTCCTTCTGTTAGATTTAGTTAAAACTGAGGGGAAAGAGCAAGCAAATGATAGACAAACATTTGCAGAACACAGTGCTGTTGTAACCTCATTTCCCTGAGGAACCATGTACTTTTGTGAGCAGTTGGTATTTTTAGAGATTAGGTATTTCAGTTTTTTTTAAAAAAAGCAAAAAGATGCTTAGAACGAATGCCAGAGAGATGGCACCATGGGTTCTCTGGGGAAATAGCCACAAAGCCATTCCAGATGGTCATATGGCACAGAATATACATCCCAACACTACTGGCTATACCCCATGGGTTAGGTGGGCTGCATACAAGAGGCTGAGGCCCAAACGCTCAGTATCCCTGCAGCAAGCAGGCCTGCCTGCCATGTGCAGCCATCCCCATGACTGCCACCTCTGTGCCACTGAGGCTGACGTGTTTGAAAGAGAATTTGAAACCAAAGAGGTGAGTTCAAAATAAAAGAAGTCAGCAGCTTCTCCCTGGGAATGGTGCTGCTGGCGTTAGTGGACATCACTAGGTCACTCCATCATTTCTGAGCTGGGGATTTCTGTTTAATAATATATGTCAGATTACTTCTATAATGACCTATAAAAATTCTAAGATTAACTCAACTGCTGCTATGTTATCTTCAGTGTCCTGCAGCATACTTGGCAGAGCAAGCACATGCTTTTTGTTTTCTTTACTCTGGTTTGCTTGCTTGCTTGTCACTTTGGTTTTCCCAACAGTGTTTGCCTTGTGCTGACCCCATCCAGAAACAAATGTTGGGCTGGGAAGTAAATGAGGCACAAAGATAGCGTCAAGATAGAGAGGGTTTTAGGTCTGTGGTTTATAAGAAAGAAATTAAGAGATTGTATTCTTTGAAAATTTCTAGCTTTCATTAAACAAAATACAAATGAAATGTTTGTATTTTTATTTCAATCCAATAACCTAGGAGTAGCTTGTTTTGCTCAGTTCTGAAATTCATGAGGACATGACTGAAAAGACTGATTTTTGCTAATGTTAAAATACTAAATCAGCATCAGAACTTCCATTTGGGCTTATAAGCAATAATGCACGTGTTTCTTGTTCTGTGTTTTACTTTTGCATCTTGTGCATCACAGGAGAGTCTTACTTTTTCAACGAATGAATCTTTAGTATTGTGTAGTTTGGAAAAATTTAACCAATGGATTATGCATGTGAGTAGTCCTTCCTGGTTAGACAGTTCTTGGTATTTCTCTTAATTTTTCCCTATTTAACATACACATCTCTCAAAGCTTGAAAACCTTGGAAAGGACTAAAAGTAACTTAATAATTTTTTAGTATTTTAGAAATGCTACCTTGGACCTAAGTGTTGTTCTTCCCTTTCTTTCATCATTTCTGAACTAAGAGAAATATTTCTAGCAGTAGTTAAGATATTGCAATTGTCAAAGTGTCCAGAATCCATAGCAATGAGTATTCAATGCAAGTGATCAATGAAATTTTTAGCCAGGGTGTGTGATCCTCTCAATAGTCAGCAAAGCTGGAGTTCCCTCATGTTGTATCTCAGAGCTGTAAAACATGATCTTGTTTGCTGTGCCTATATATATATATGTATATATATATATATATATATATATATATACACACACACACATATTTATCTAGCACTACTTTCTTTTTGTCTTCATCATTGTCCCTCTGACTGTGTGAATTTTCAGCCCACCCAGCTTGATTGAGCATCTTTGGAGTGAGTTTCTTCTAAGATACTTGCAACTTGCTCCTTTTGCTTGAGCATCCTAGAAATGTTGGGAACCTCTTGACTTTAGGAGATATAAAATCTACTGTATTCTGGTAGGCTGTACTTTTAAAGGTGAACAATCGACTGCTTGTGGGAATGCTTCAGTTGACTTATTTGTGATTCTGTGTTGCTGTTGTTTTGTTTCACTACTTCTAAATGCCCAACTATGGATCAGCTCCTACAAACTATTTAGAGGCATACTCCGAACTAGAGCTTTATTTAGATCTAAGCATAGTTTTCATGAGTTTCACTGATAGTCAAATCATTGCTTATTGTGAGAAAACCTAGATCACCCACCAAAAGCCAAGGGTGGTGTCCAGTTGTTGTAGTCTGCCCCCATAACTGTCCTAAGAAGTTGAATATGACAGTTGGGAATCACCATGCCTGAGTTGCACTCCAAAGACATTGGATTCTGAACCATCAGAGATATTTGTTTTTCCCCAAACACAAGCACCCTTCTGACCTTGCTAATTTCTGATGGAAACTGAAAATCTTTTTGTTATAATCAGAGTCAAGTATCAGTTCCAGAAAGCCATTACTATGCATTATAGGCACTTAGGCACATTAGAAAACAAAACAAAACAAGCTATCTACCACTTTCCAGGATTAATGCTATGAAACATTTTATGGGTGGTCCTTAAGAGGACAGAATGCTGCACTAATGTGTGACTGCATGGCAATTAAGCTTAATTAGGGAAGGTTTTGAAAAAGACAGATGAAAGTAAATTATGGGAATGAAAGCAACTGTGGTTTTGGGGACCACGCTCTGTTACATTAGTTCAGTGAAGCATTGCTAATATTGTCCCCCGTCTATCACACTTTGACACGCATCCAGAAGTTTGTCAAATCAAGCATTTTTCTCTAGAAGAAGGAATCTTTTCGGAGCACATTCTTCACCTGGTCTCTGCTGAAACCAGTTTTCTTCAGGAGACGGCACCGCTTCCCTACTAAGAGGAATAGCTGACCCTTAATGTGACCATCCGGTTTAGTTTAGCATTGCCTCTTTTCTACATGGAGTAACAGAAATAATGATGTATGTGGATTTTGATTTTCTTATGTGTGCTGGAAGAAATTTTTCATAACTTCCTATTTTTAATGCTTCCTTAGATTTACAACTGAGCACTCAGAGCATCTGATTCTGGTTTTCCCCAGTGACCCTGGTAAGCAGGGTTGCAGCAGCTCTCAAGCTTTATTCTGCATGTTTTGAGAGTGTATCATCAAACAGGCTCTTTCAGAGCAGAGGATTTCTGTGCTTGGAAAAAGGCCGTTCTAAAACTAGGTGCATGATCCCTCTCCTACAGAATTTTAAGAGAAACAAAGTTTAGTATACTGAAATCCTAAATGAAACTGAATTGCTTTTCTCTGCCTTGGACTAAAATGGTTGTTACTATAGACACTGTTATAGTTTGTAGTGTTACATTGGATTTTATTAAATTATGGAAAATAATTAAGTAGAAAAGCAGGAAACAAAGGCTATGCAGTCAGATCCTTTTTTAGCTCAAATAGTGCCTGGTGTTGCTTTCCGCCAGGACAGTGGGATGCTTTTTTCCCTAATGAACTTTTCATGTCCAAGATGAAATACAGATTCTGTGGACGATTTATTAAGAAAAGCACCACTTTCATGTGAGCAGTTTTCAGACCAACAGGGAATTTATATATGGAAATCATATATGAGTAGAGGGAAACACCTCATAAAAAGAATGACTACGTGGTCAGCAGCTGTAATTTATGTGCATTCTTTTTTAATAAAAAAACGTGTGTTGAGACCAATCTTTTTCATTTTTATAGCAGCTCAACATGATAGCTTCAACTGCAGTTGTTTAACCTTCTGACTTTCTTTGTTTTGTTTTGAAAAAAGGAAAACTAAAACCAGTACTTTTTGTTTCAGATACTGAGCTGATTGTTGCGCGAAAAGTGCAGTAAAGACACCTTTCTACACTGAAAGAAGCTAAAGTGAGTGTTGAGAGAAATACTGCTGATAAAAGTGTGTATTAAAAATGAAAATAGACAAGAGGATGTTAAGTACAAAAAAGAAGATGCTTGGAGTTGATGGCTGAGCACAAATAGCTGCATACAGGTAATCCAGATACACCTGCATTTGCCTTAACTCTGTTTGTTAGATACATGTTTACCTGCGTGTACACAGATACAAAATGTGGAAGGTACAGTTAAAAAATCAATTTCTTGCAAGGCAAAAGATGCTGCAGACAAACCTCTACATGGGATCTCTTAGCACAGAGTTCTATTTATAGAACCACGGAATGCCTTTCTGGAGACAGATCCCCTTAGCAGGGGAATGCTACTCAAATCCCATGTTTTCCTCCACATGTGCAACTGGGAAGTAAAGGATCAGCCTAAGAGTTTCTGGTATGTGAGGTAATACTTGGTAACAGAATACTTTCAAGGCAGCTGGCGCAATGTCCTTGATAGGGTTGTTACAAGCCCCCCATAGACTCATTCTTTCATGGAGATGATGAGATATTGGGAAAACCTGATGTAGTTAGGCAATTGTAGGTGAACAAGCCATTTCCCTGCTAAAAGCCTAAAACCAGTGTTTATTACTTCCTGCTAGGTCACAGAAACTTTGCTCATCTGTCGTTTTGACAATAGCCACTCTTTTTTAATCTTCTTCGTATTCATGAACTGTTCTGCCCTCCACCTTTTTTTACACATCCTATAAATGCTTCATTCCAAAAGGTTTCCCAAGGCCTGTAGTGTTGCTGCAGGCATCTTCTACAGCAACTCAGGCTCCAAATGTCCTTGGAACGGTCTCAGGAGGGAATTCTCTGGGATGAATGAATAAGACTGGGCAAAGACTTTCATTCAGCTTTTTCTCAGTTACTGTCATGGAAAAATTACTTGGATTGATGCTGGGTTCCTGTACAGGAACCTGCAGAACATAGGGATTTGGCCTTCTGTGATTTGAATAATTTCTAAATTTTGTTTTATGCCAAAATGCTTCAGTGTTATTTGTTGGAAGAGCCACTAAAAAGCTGTTCCTGTACAGCTTGTAGAGACCTGCAGCAGTTACAGTTGCAACTCTCTCTACTTTCCCCTTGCGCCAGAGAAATTGAGGCTTGCATAGTGACCTGCTGAAAAAATACACATGTGGAGCAAACAAGCCCATTATTCCCAGATTTCTAGGCATTTTTCAGACTGTATGTACCACATTTCTTGCAAGGGATATTTATATTTAATATGTACAGGTGAAGAAACTCAGGCTTGCTGGTTTCCTTGGATTCCTTTCTAACCTGCTCTTGTTTCTCTTTTTCCCCACCTCCTCCCTTCTTTTGCGGCTTCCTGGCGTAAGTGCCCACAGCAAACCACTGTTCAGGATCCAGGAGCTGTACTCCATGGCAAGCCTAGTGCTAACCTCAGTGACAGCTGCCCAAATGCCATAATCACACATTCCCAGCACTCTGCCCTAACGGCAGGGGTAGGAAACTCCAGTTTATGTTAATAAGGTGTGGAGGGTAGCCAAAATATTTTCTGAGTTTTCCGGCTTGAAAGGGTAATGAAGCTAACTCTGTCTCAGTAAGCTGGCATGGATGCAAGCTAAACAACTGGAAAATGTGTTTTCAGTAAAAAATACAGTGCACAAACTCCGCAGGTTTAGAACTTCCACTGTAAGTTGAGGTTTTTCATCTTTCCACTTTTTTTCCAGCCTAACTACTCCCCTTCACACAGCAAGAGCAATGTGGGGGGAGCAGGCTTTTTCTGTAGATTAGTTTCACGCAGTTATTGCCAGTTTGAGAGTTGAACTCAGAAACATTTCTTATTTTATAGTAAAATAATGAATTGCTTAATATGAAGGGTAAACCCAAAAGCTTATTTCTATAAATTTTGTCCAAAATCTACACATTTGTTAGCAAAAGAAACCTCCACACTACTGTAAGCATGGTCAAATTCTTTAGGCTTGATTCAAAAAGCTTGCTCTTTTTGTCATTCCTCTCTGACCTCCTCCCTGTTAGTCCTGGGATGAAAGGCAAGCCAAAGATCTGCTGAGAAATGGGCCAAGCCACTGCTGACCTTTGCAAATCCAGTGCCTTCAAAGCGAGAGCTAATCGACATGTTCCCACGCTGTGTGTTGCTGAAACATACGATGCAATTCAAGGAATGAATTCACCATGGTGCAATCTCATTTTGAATCCAGTTTTCTTGCTATGTGTCAGAGGGTGAAGGAGGCAGAGTGCTGCACAGATTATAAACAGCAATCACACATGATAAGTTTCATAGACCTTGTAAGTCTTTGTTTGAAATATTTCCTACTTTGAAGGGGCTCTTTACCTTAAAATTTAAAATGCATCAGCACATCCTTTTGTTCTTCTACCCCTCAAAAACAGAGAGCCATTTTGCCGTGATTTAAAGAAAGATAAGCCAGTGGCTAATCAGGCTGAGAGTTTGTGATAAATAATCACCAGCTGGAAAGAAGTAGTTCTAGAGTTTATGAGCTGACAAGTAACAACAGCCTGGGGAGATGTTTGTGCGCCAACAGGTGCTATAGGTGAATAGCACAGTGATGCAGGAAGAGCTTTGGAATTTGTATTTTAAATTCATCTCCTCTCTCCCACTTTGCATGTTCAGATTTGGTGTGAGTGCTATTGCTGTTCTGCAGCAGTGTGACCAGGTCCCCCTACGGAAGATGTTTTATCAGTTCCACCAGGCACCTCAGGTATATGTGCAGGAAAGCGTATTGGCGCTCCTCACCTAAATCTTACAGTCTTTTTTTCTACAGGTGTGTGCAGAGCAGCAGAGTCTCACTGTGTCACGGGAGGAGCAGTTGATTATGTCCCTTGCAATCCCCACATGACTTGAGGGGCTGGGTAACGTGGTGCACCCATCCTGGGTATGGTACTACACTGCAGCCTGTTTACGTGCTGCAAGTGGTGCCTCTTAGCATAAAGTCGCTTTTTGTCTGGGGGAAAAGTGAGAGGACTCATTCCTCATTTAGCCACTGTAGGGCATATGTCATAAGTAGTATATCTCAAGCCATTTTGTCTGTGCCTAAGGGAGGAGTTCTGTAATTCCCAGTGCATGGTTCAGTGTCCCTCTCCTGGCAGAAAGTTACCACTCAGGCTGGGAAGCCATGGCAAGGCATGGCAGCCAGAAGACAAGCTGGTATGCGTTTGACACCTTACCACAGACTTCCTAGTGTATGGTTTATCCAGCTGTTTTGATCATACAGTGGCACCCGGAGATATTATGACCAATTTATTTCATTATCAGCTTTATTGCACAAATGCAATTCCATTAGAGCTGATGTAATGGAGAATCAGGCCCCCAGGCCAATGGGCTAAATTGTACCCTGGCTGTGTAAGCTGAACTTTCAAATGAAACCTCAATGCTCTCATTTTCAAGTTGTCCTTAGCAAAGCAAATGAAAATATATCATTGTTCTCAAGACTGCTGAATGAAGCAAGTCCTTCTTTTTTTATTTTCATAACCATGAATAGTAATTTCATCTATTCATGACTAATAAAATAGTTTGCTAACTAACCAGATTTGGTGAACTGTTTCATCAAGTGTTGCAACAAGAGAATTGTTTGTATTTTTATTAATCTCTCAATATTTTTGTTATTTTCTGTATCACAGTTAGATTTTTCAGTCTTCTGGACATCGAAGATTTTGGAGAAGAGATTGTATAGCTGGATGGGTAACATCTGTTACCAGATGGATTTAACAGTGAGAAGGGGAGAGGGCTAATTTATACTCTTCTTCCCACTGCTGGCACCTTTCACTGTGGCACTGTATTCTAGTCCTGTGGCAGAGATTATCTTTGCACAGAGGAAGCCCTTATTCACGTGATTACATCTACCTTTAAGTTTTGCTGCTGTTTATAAGACAGTAACAAATGCCTTCATGATAGCCCTTGGGCTTGGCCTTCCAGTAATTTTTTTTAAAAGAAAAGAATAGGAGAGTAGCTCTAACTTTGTTAGTTAAAAGCAGTGATAGATTTTAATTTCTGACCTTTTAAAGTCACACCAACATCAAGCTTCATCTTACTATACATTCAAAATGCAAAGCATAAGTAAACAGGAAACACCTGTAACAGGTGCCTTGGATAGTGAATTCGACAGAAAGAGATGCTGAAGCGGAGTTTCAGCTTAATAAATGTCATTTTCTCTGCTGCCCCCTCCCATTTGCATTGGGACTAAACATTTGTGTGAACCCTCTTTTGTTCCTCAGCTGGAGTAAAATTCCATGTGTTCTTCCTTAGATTACCGACTATTTAGGAAAGATCTTGGAGAGGAATGGTGATTTATGGTATTGCAAAGTTCTGACTGATGCAAACAGGCTGTATGTCTGATAATGTTATTCTTGCAAACCACTGTGCCAAGAAAAAAAAAAAAAAAAAAAACTGATCCCATTTAGATGTAAGTAAAAAGCTTTAGAAATTTGACCTGATTCAAAAAAGTTGCACTATGTCTTATTCTTCTCTTCCTTCTTCCTTCTTCCTCTTGTTATTTTACATCTGTTTTTGTATTCTTATTTGCATGTTGTGGTTTTAAATACCTATCTTCACGTTCTTAGAACTTCCAGAAAAAAACAGCATTTGCAGTACATATATTGCCTATGAAAGGTTCCCTATGACCTATGAATATTGTAAGATACTCAGTTTGATTAAAGATTGAACAGCTTATTCTGAATACAGTCTCTAAGCAAGTGGAAAATAAGAAGGTTATCAATCAAAAGTAGTCATGTATTCACCAGGGGGAAATCATGCTTGATCAACCTGGTAGCCTTCTATGATCTCATGACTGACTGAGTAGATAGGGGGAGAGTAGCAGATGTTGTGTACCTTGACTTTAGCAATAACACACATGTGGGTAAGCTCAGGAAGTGTGAGAGACAAGTGAATGGTGAGGTGAATTGAGAACTGGCTGATTGGCAGAGCTCAGAGAGTTATAATCAGTTACACAAAGTCATACATAATAGATTGACTAGACTAGATTGACTAAGTGTTGGCCGCAAAGGAATGCTTATTTATGTTGAATTTCAAATATCATACGATCAACAATCATCTGAAGCAGTACAGAAACTGTGAAAGTGTCCATAGCTAAAAAAATAAAGCTCTATG